AGAAAAGAAAGCGGCTGTGAGAGAGAGAGAGAGAGCAAACAAATAGCTCTTTAACATTAATAAGAAAACCCCTGTGGGTTATCCGAGAGGCCCCTGCAGAGAATTAGCAAGGGCCTCCTCACCATGAACGAGGCAATGCTCATACCCACGCTAGGGTCATGGCACGCCCAGTACATATGGTGTTGATTCACATAAAGGTCCATGTTTCAGCAGTTGTGGGACGACTAAGCACGCAGGCAGTAGCAGGCCAACTCACCACGTGCTTTTCAGGGCTTCCCTCCACTACTCACCAAATGCACAAAACTAGAATGAATCTTCTGCTAGAACATGGAATCATACGCAGACATATGTTCGTCTTTTGTGCAAGTGGTGACGAGCGGAGCAAGGCCCTTAGGGCCACTGCTCGTAGGAAACAAAAGAAAAGAAAGAGATAGCCACCAAACGTGCAAAACTCGAACGAATCTTGTGCTCAAACATGGAATCACACTCCGCTGTATGTTTTGTCTTCTGTGCAAGTGGTGACGAGTGGAGAAAGGCCCTTAGGGCCACTGCTCGTAGGAAAACGAAAGAAAAGAAAGAGAGAGCTACGGTAGTAAGTAGTTGTAACTTGTGACCCATAACTGCTGGAAAACAGACCTGACTTCGGATCCAGAATATATATTGCTAGCCTGCTCCGCTCTCACAAGAAATTTGCTGAACGTCTCTTGAGATGTTGGGACACTTGCAGATGCACTGCTGGGGTCCTTCGGGAAAATGACTTTTCAACGAGGAATGCGTGGCCCCATTTTTTTCTCTGTGCCCTTAGATTTTTCAGAAGGGAGGGGCACCATTGGCTACCTCAGCCATCCCTCTCCGAATTTGTTTTTTAGTAAATTTTGACCCTATTTATTGGGGTGCGCCGCATCACTTGCGCGTGCACTATGCGCCGCACATGCGGAGCTCGTGCGCACGTGATGCGCCGCAGGTATGATTTTAAATTGTGACCACTGGGGCAGACATTCTAGCACATGAGGCCAGTCAGTGTATGGATTGCATAAAATCTGAGGGGCACCGTTGCCTATGGTAAGTGCCTATGGTAAGTGGCCGCCTCTACAGCCCAGCAGGACCAGTTTGGGTGTGGCCTGTGGAAGCAATGCATCCAATTCTCGCAGTCGCAGTTACTGCACCGGATGACACAGCGTAGACAGATGTCACAGGCTACGTGGCTCGTACATGCTAGGAACACAGAGGCATGTTGGCCGCAATCGTAGAGGTATTGCCGTTCCAGCCCGTCTACAAATTGGACATGACATGTCAGGGTGCCGTACATGAGTGCAGTGTTGACTGTCATCATACGTATGAGGACAAAAGCTCGCCTGGGCTATCCCCTCATAATCCTCACAGCACAAGGCATGAGAACCACATGCTAGCTGAATCTTCAGTGGGTCATCACAAGCGGCATGGAGCAGGTTTCTTGGGTTTCCTCAGTATTTATTCCTTCTCTATGGGTAGACGACGACGGGGGAGCTTGATCCAAAGCAAGGGTGTTCAGTTGCTGCAGGATTTGGTCTGCAACAGCTCGACCTGGTGGCGATAACCTATTAGTACGGTGCTCTGTAGGTGGTTCATATGGGAGTCTATTTTCCTCCTCAGGCTGTTGTGTCTGTCATTCATCAGGCAAGAAAGAAGGGATTCCCTCTGCAGTTGCAGTAGGTGTATTACCAACATCGCATGTGGGACATGCTAGGAGAGGATTTGGTGGATGATGGCACCGGGGATAGTCCATGCAGTAGAGACACATACTTTCTATGACAGCTTCCTGGAAACATTGACAACACATGGCATGTTGCTGACATGTCATCAGCAAAGAAGGCTGACGTGCGCAGTTATTTAGGCATGGCAGATCAAGCCCACAACAGCATGCTAGGAGAGGATTTGGCGGATGATGGCAGTTATTTAGGCATGGCAGATCAAGCCCACAACAGCATGCTGGGCAAGTAATCAGGGGGTTGGGGGGATGAGCACAAGACAAAGGATCGCAGTTTTCGTGGCAGAGGCTGGCAGCTACCTGTGCGACGACACAATGGGAGGAGGGCACAGCCACCATCCCCTGAAGAGTCCCTTCACTGTTCGTGGTAGAATCCGTCCGATCCACACAGGGAGGGGACGCTGCCTGAGCATACACAGGGGAAGGAGGTTCCGCCGGATTGGTCTCTGGAAGCAGTAGTGCTTGCGAGTGCTCATCGACATACTGTTCCTGATGGAGAGCCAGACCGAGTGATGTTCTACCGCTTGGTGATAGAAAGAGTTGATATTTCCCCCTGTGTGCACCCTACCGCCATTGTCCCATAGGATCCATGAGTTATCCGCAAAGGTAACAGGACTGAAATGACCTGGACGATGTAAGATGTATGCCCGAATATTCGGATCCATGCCTGGCACGTGATTTTGTGGAGCAGGCTGGAGTTGTAGTCGGCTACCCATAAATGCCATAGACAGGACTTCTATGTTCACGCCAAGTGCAGTGCTGTCGTCCTCTGGGCAGACGGCACGGTGCTCTTCATCTATCCAGCGGACAACGTCTGCAAATCTGAAACAGTATAAGGGTTGCAATTGTAGGCAAGGAGACATACATTAATGGCATAGTACGCACAGCGGGCTCACTGTAGCACTATGACATCATCCGATTCTGCTAGTTGTGCAGCAGGGGGAGGTTCATCCAGTTCTGCAGATTGCATGGCAGACTGAGATTCATTGCGGGCTTGACCATTTCTGTCAGGTTCCTCCGGCTGTGTGTGTGTGTGTGTGTGTGTGCAGACGGCACGGTGCTCTTCATCTATCCAGCGGACAACATCTGCAAATCTGAAACAGTATAAGGGTTGCAATTGTAGGCAAGGAGACATACATTAATGGCATAGTACGCACAGCAGGCTCACTGTAGCACTATGACATCATCCGATTCTGCTAGTTGTGCAGCAGGGGGAGGTTCATCCAGTTCTGCAGATTGCATGGCAGACCGAGATTCATTGCGGTCTTGACCATTTCTGTCAGGTTCCTCCGGCTGTGTGTGTGTGTGTGTGTGTGTGTGTGTGTGTGTGTGTGTGTGTGTGTGTGTGAGTGTGTGTGTGTGGGGGGGGGTGGGAGGTCGCGGTGCGGTTACCGTCCGTATGTGTGTGTGAGAGAGTGTGGCATTTCATAGTGTCATAAGGATGAAAGATGCCTGATAAAGCCTCACAAGCAGCCAGGCCCTTGAAATCAAGGGTTGGGCTGGGGTTAGTGTCATGGTGTCATAAGGATATAGTGTGGGAGATTTCATGTTTCCATCAGGAGCCTTTAAGCTCATGGGGGTGAAAGAGTGAGTAGGCTTCTTTGTCGCTGAATCGTTCACCCCTTTTACAATTTTTCCCTGTCTGAATATGACATCGAGCACCGAGGCACAGATAAACAGAGCTGCAAGTTTTTCTGTGGAAAAACAGAGAAACAGAGGGTTCAGTGAAAAGAGAGTAGGAGGTATAATCCTCTCACCTTTCCACCTGTAAGCTTGCAAGCAGTGGCATGACTC